ATTACGAAAGTGTCGGGAAAAATTTATTGAAGCTCTTTTATTTGCGCTCTAAAATGGGTTTGAACTTTCGAACTACAAATTACGAAAATGTCAGGAAAAATTTGTTTAAGCTCTCTTATTTGCGCTCTAAAATGGGTTTGAGCTTTCGAGCTACAAATTTTGCCTGAAAACTATTTTATATTATGTCTTCCTAACCGTTTGCCATAACTTCAATTGTCAGAGAATTTCACCGAAAGGAGACATCTGAGAGGAACCTATTGAGTGAATTGTCTGAAATGTTTAGTTTTCAGCAAAAGTTTTTAACGAATTGCGTTTTAAGTGGACGAAACGTTAACCAAGATACTGAGGTACCGCAACCAAGAAGTGCCCTCTCTTCGCCTATAGCGCTTCAATCCCTGAACAAAATCAGGAAAATCTGAAACGAAATTTTGCCCCTGTGCCCTCACATCTTGTTCGCAGTGGCGTGGCGTGCTTTGCGATATATCGATTGTTATACCATTTAAACCTACGGAAAAGGATCGATAAACAGGGGAACTTCTTAGTAATCGATTATTTACCATAGGTTTAAATGGCAGAACTATCGACACATCGCAATTTACGCCACGACACTGCTTGTCTGGGCCATTTTAAAGTTGGACGTCGAAGCTTCGAAACGTCTTAAACGCACGTGTTCGTAGGCTTCAAGCGCGGATTCGTGCGTGAAATTCGGACGAATCCAAACCGAAAGGAACTATTCCCATCGTGACCTGAGCCCTGGAACCCATAAGAATACACACGTTCCAGGGCCCAGGCCACAATGGAGATGATTCTTTTCGATCGAAATACGTCCATTTGGCCGCTCGATCGGGCAACGGGTGATCAACCTACTGATCAACTCTCATCCAAGAGTCAACAAAGAGCAGGGCCCCATGTTGGTGTTTCTGATGCCATAAAACTCCCCCCCCCCCCCCCCTCCCCACGGTTGCCCCCGTCCCTCGCGGCCCCCGGCGACCGATGGAAGAGGTATAGCGCCGCAGTGTTGCCGCTCGTTCCGGGATCAGCTGATCGCATCTGGATTACCTGTGTAGGGAGAGTATTGCTATCACCGTGCCGCTCTCTGATTGGTTCATCAGTTTTTGGGTATCGCGGAGCTTCAAAGTTGGACCGATGTAAACCAACCCGACACAGAGAGACACGTATTATCGGCTGAGAAATGAATCTCAAAGGTTAATTTTTGGCATAAATATCCATCAAAGTTGGAGTCCAGGCAATTTAGAAGTCGGATTTTAAAAAATTTCCATCACATCCAAAATCACGTCTAAAACTATGTAGAACTTTGTCGCCATCTTGTTTGTTTACATTGGGCCTAACTAGGAGCGGAGGGGCTGGGGTTTGTTTACATTGGTCCAACTTTGGGGCTACATGATAGCCGACCAGTCGGAGAGCGGCACACTTTTTCTGTAGTAAAAGGATTGAGATGGCAGTTCTCTCCTGGATACAGGTACTCTAGGGAGAGTATTGTCGAATATAAAGCTCCTAGGACCCGAAAGAGCAGCCAACCTTCAAACACGAAAAACACCAGAAAAATGCCGCTGCCAATTTAATCTTCGGATTCCAATATGAAATCATGAAGGCCAAGAACGGTTATAAAATCAGCGTTCCTCCGCAAAAATGAGTGAAGGGGGGGTTCGATAAGGGTCATTTTTGGGTCCACCCTTAATTTCCTCAACTCGACGATCTTTCGCGCTTTGAAAGTCTATATTTCACGGAACGCATCATGATTTGGCCATTTTCGACTTCACTTCGGGTCCAATACTGGCCTAGACGTGGGCCTGAACGCGGATTGTGGCGGGACAATCGAGTTTTCCGGGTTTGCGATCGAATGCCCAAGCCAAAAGCGGCCTTTAAACTCATAACTTGGCTAAAAAAAAAACTGTCATTGATAAAATCATGCTGCATTCCACCTTCAATGAGCGAATAATCGGAGAGTTAAGGACATTTAGGGTGGGCCTGTAGACGGCCCTTATCAGCGCTCCTCTTTAATGAAAGAATTGCGTCAAATTTTGATTTTAAACACCAACAGGTCGTAACAGTTCTGGACGATTTGAGTTTATATGCGGTGGCCGCCCGCGCCCCTTTAAGCCCCAAGAGCTCCATGACCGAACCTCCGAAATTACCGACATATCCGTCCGTCCATACTCTCTCTACATGTGTAGGTACTCTTATCGGATCGGGTTCGACGGTCGGATCTCCTTGTTTTTGTCGCCAAATGCGGCAACGATGGGCGAGCTGTAAGACAGAAGCCGGCTCAGGCCGCGGCTGCAACGTTGCCGATTTGAACGTCGAATCGCTTTGTTTACATTTTTAGGCGATAGGGAAAAGCGTGTTACGTGAGGTTTCGTCAGACACGGTGGGCAACCCTGTGGAAGGAACACGGTATCGGAATCGTAGTTGGCAAATTGGACTTCATTTTGCAATTAGGAACCAGAATTTGTGGCTCATCTACTAAAACATGGAAACTACCTACCTAGGGTACTTTGTTTCTGAAAAGAGTCGGAATTTGTAGTTCCTTACTGCAAAATGAAGTCTTCTTGGCTCTATGTCTTGGCGGCGTTCATTTTCATTTCGGTGAAGCCGAGGCATGAGTTCGATTAAACTGCTAAACTGTCGTGTTAAGGAAGAACGCCATATGAGCCTTCAAACGTTGCCAAGTTTCGATCGATACAAACTGAAATTACCGGGAAAACTGTGAATATTATTTTCCAAAATTTTCAGACATTTTCGTGTGTAATTTAATCTAAAATATCTGAAGATTTCAAGAAAATACATGCATTAGTGTTGTCAAAAACAGTTTCAATTTTTACAGTAAAATTTTGGAGATATGGAAATGTCTGGAGGCTTATACGGCGTTCTTCCTTAGCACGGCAGAACTGCAGAACGACCATGGATAACGGGGATTCCAGTGTATTACTTATTTCTCCCTCAAAAACGCGAAGGATCGGCATTGGGCCTTGCATGTTCTGGGGGCTGATCGTTTAAATTGATAGACAAAGATATGGACAAAGAAGATGTAGGGAGCAATCCTATTAGTTGAAACGGGAGATTCCTATAGACTAAGTGAGAAACTGATGGACTAACTATCGAGTCTCTCGTGGGTTGCCGTTTTGGTTGCCGTTAGTTAGTCTATTACCTACCTCGTTTGTCCATTGCAACCACCCGCTTCCACCAATAGGATCCCTCCATATCTCTTTGGTCTTCTTTGTCCATCAATTTCTGTAATCGGCCTGCAGATTACAGTACTTACAATTAATTTGTCGGTGCGAGGTTTCTAAGGGTATTTTCCCGCATAGAGTCGTAATGTAAGTGGGTGAGCTGGCGCCACTTTTAAGCATTTTCCAGGTCCCGAATTCCGAGACTCCTGTGTGACGCCGGGTCACTTTTTCGACACATAATCGATTGACTTCGATGCACGGGGACCCGGCCATCCGATGTAAACAAAGAGGATAGGAATCACCATGTACTCCACACCGCCATTTTGGATCGAACATGTATCGAAAAAGTGACCCGAACTCGGCGCACACCGGGCTCAGAACTCGTCAAACAGAACATGGCGCCAGCTCTCCCATTTATATTACGACTTTATGTACTCTATGTTTTCCCGACGTTCGTGTTTCTTATTGAAGGGTTCGAGAAGCAGATGAAAACGCTTGCTCCTTGTAAGAACTCGGTTCGCTTCCGGTCTATGAACCAAGTCTCGACTCCACCCGACGCCACTCAAGATGTTTCGAGGTTCCTCTCCGGAGAGGAGCTCAGACTCCGGAGTCGTCAATTTGACCTCAAGCATTTGGGGTTAGTTAACCCCGAGACTCACGGTTGATATGCACGGAGTTTCCGGGTCGGAATTGGCTTCCGCGCCAGAACCGCTTATCTGATGGGGGTTTCTGAGCCAGTCGCATGGTTTTCGCCTAGGAAGACAAGCGCAGCACTCGTGCATCTCCCCCGGGTTGGCTGCGCTGCGCTGCCGCGACCAGCTGAGCGGCGTTGGTGCCGTTTTAGGTTAAAAAGGGCATTTCCCGTGATAGAATTAGGTGATTTTCGGCAGCCGAGCGGCAACGGTGGAGAGCAAGCTGAGGCCAAGTCAGGCCACGCACACTCCTACCAAGCCGCTTCCATGAGGCGCCACATCTCACTTCGGCGATTTTTTGTCCGATTCGGGTTTGCCTTAACTTTCTCCTTATCCCCTCGAACTTTGGGCATTTTCTAGTGTAGACTGATCCCGGGAGGGGGGGGCGGGCTTACGCCAGTAAGGGGGAAAAGGGAAGAGAGACGGAAGGGAAGAAGAACTGCAGGGTTGCCATGGCCAGGGAAAACCGGGAAATGTCCGAAAATTTTAATAAGTCAAAGAAAACCGGGAAATGTCAGGGATAATGACGAAAATGTCAGGGAAAATTTATTAAATCACCTTCATTTGCTTTCTAGAATGGGTTTGCGACTTTGAACAAGGAATTAAAACTATTTTCAACTATGCCTTCTCAACCATCCGTCAGATCCTCAATTGTCAGGGAATTTTGTCAAAATGTGTCCGGGAAATCAGGAAAATGTCAGGGAATTTCATTTTCTAAACTCTGTGGCAACCCTGAAGAAGAGAGGACGCTCGTATTTGATAATTGTTCATGACGTGATTGACTTAAAATGAATCATAGGTGCTTTAAGATTTCGACAATTTTCTGAGGGAATTATGCGGTAGCCGCCCTCCNCGGCTCGGACTTTCCTTTCATCCTGCAGAGACAATAAGCGACTGGATCCGTGAAATGGTTCCGTATATTTTCTTTACCTTCGTGAAAATGCATAGAGGAAGAAAATCTGTTACCATTGCGCAAGTTTGAATCTAAGAGCACCTGAGAAGTAGGAGAAAGTAGAAGTTTTCGGCCAGAATCGCCTCCCGTGCTTGATCACAGGACGAGAGAAAATTTGTGCGACACTGAAGTGAGTTAGAAATAAAGTACGCTTTATCGAGGGAATTATTCACAAAAAAATACGCTTAATCGAGGAAATCATTTAGAAAAAAATACGCTTTAACGAAGAAATTATTTACAAGAATTCCAGTTACTTAACAGCACTAATGCTAAAGGTAGGACGGTATCTGCAGAGGGGAGAGAATTAAACATTTGAGAGAGAATAGGTCGGGGTCTCAGATACGTCGCAAGGCGATGTTGGATCAGTGGAAGCAGTCGGTACTGACGCAACAGGGAGGGTCGTTTGGTCTTGTAAAGCCCTAAACTCTAAATTAAAAACAATGTTGGAGATGTCCCTTTTCGCCTCGAGCTGGAGGAGCGGGGGTAGGTTTTTTACGGTCGCTAAAATCCCGCTGAAGTAGGCGTCGATCGGGTCCGATGGAGGCTGAAGCTGAGATCGAGATCTGCCGGAGATGATAGTTTCAGTCGATTCGTTACATTCCTTGGTTTGCCTTCGGAATTTTTTGGTGGCCCTCTCGCAAGAGACTAGCTTCCTTCTCCCGAGGGTCCTGCTCCTTGACGAGACTCTGGATATCGATGTGGCTGAATTTCGGGATGTGGAGGTCACGGTCGGGGCAGTTGCCCTCCGCCTCAATCTGGGGATCTGGTCTCCAGGTGTTTCTTTGACACGATTCGAAGCTTCTTCTTCCTCGTGCGTTGTGTCGTCACTGGCTTCGTCGCCTTCCTCTGAAGTACCATCATTACTCTCGTTGGTAGTTTCTGGAGGAATATTTCCAGCCATCCTAAAACAGAAAGACGAGGTCAGAGAAAACGTCCGTTGCGAGATTAGAGTCCCTTTATACTGAGAGTTAGGATTAGGACAACCCCTCCTCATGGAGTCATGAACGGGAATAAAAATTGCACAAATTGATAGTTTTTCGTAATCTTTGATCGGCTCATTCTCAAATTCCTTTCTCCGTTCCTTCTCTCATTCCGTTTGCTCCTTGCCGAACCCGTTATTCCCCGGTTCATTCCAGTTTATAATCTTTGCAATTGGTGAAAATGTAATCTTTATTCCCGTTTGTGACACTGTGGAGGCCTAAAACACGGGAACCAATCAGAAATGGATTCACATTGTCTCAACTCTCAGTACAAAGGGACTCTGGTCGAGATGTGTTCCGAAGCGAATTTTCCGATGAAATTGCTGACATCGATGCCATTGGTAGGGCAACGGATTCGTCCATCAGTGACGGCATGCTTAGAGGATCCCATTTGTGAATTTAGGTACCTATTTTTGAGGAGTTTGAAAAATGGACGGGAAAAAAAAACGAACAACTTTCCATCATTAATGACCCAGGATGTCTACGAGTTCGGGAAATTCGAAAAGTCCGGAAATAGCACTGAATTTTTAAGGCGGTCCGGGAGCACTGAAAAAGTACGTAAATCTCTCCCCCCCCCCCCCCAAAAAAAAAATAAAAAAAATTTTGCTTCATGCCACACGTGCTTTTTTAAACCGCGTGGAAAGTATTTGATCCGTCACGCAATGATTCTCAGTGCCGTTTTTTCCGCTAGATCGCGATTGTGCTATCAGTTGATCCCCAGGCTAGCAATGAGCATCAAATTCCCTGGCTACGTCATTTTTATCACAATTTGCGCGTGAATTTCGAAATTTTTTGAATTTCGTCTCTTTAAGGTACCAAAAAAGCACTGAATTTGAGTTTTTTCGGAAAGTAATGAAAAAGAACTGTTGAAGTGCTGATTTTTTTGCCAGTCGGTTTTAGTGGACACTGGAGTACCTTTGTAGATAGAGTATGACCATTCGTATCTTGTTACAGGAAAACTGTGCCGTTTTTTGATTGGTCAACGAGTTTGTAGGCTTCTTGGTGCTATTACGGCCGTAAATAAACAAACAAGATGGCGACTCACCGTAACATTGATAAGAAGCTGAAAGTCGAAAAACATTTCGTCTCTGAATTATACGGCAGTAACAATTTAAACTAGCTGAACTACGAAAAACATGAAAAACACATGAAAAGACTGCTAAATTGCCTTTTTTCTTTATCACAGGAGGATGTAAGATGTGCATAACCTCAAACTTTTTTTTTTTTTTTTTTTTTTTTTTTTTTTTTTTTTTTTTTTTTTTTTTTTTTTNTTTTTTTTTTTTTATTGAGAGTTTAGTGGCTTCTATTCCTTTAGGAATCTACAGCCATCTATAGGCACTATTTATTGTCCGAAGACATCAGGGAGTTTGATAGATATCCATGCTCGGGCTTACAAATTTTCACGGATTAAGGCCGAGCGAATTCTGCTTACAGATCCACTCGTCAGTTCCATGAAAATTTGTCGCCACCGCCGGGATTCGAACCCGGGACCTATTGACCTAGAGTCAGACGCGCTAACCACTAGGCCAACCTGGCCGGCAACCTCAAACTTGCTTGCTAATAACAGCCATCTTGTTTGTTTATTTACGGCTGTAAGAACATCGTGTCAGCCTATCTTCTCGCGACCAATGAAAAACCGGCACAGAAATGGCCATACTCTGTCTATAAAGGTTCTCTAGTGGACACCCTGTGAACACCAATCAGGCACTGGTGTGAGTAAATTGTAAGAAAATTTAAGTGTCGTATGCTTTAAATGCTTGCTCTTTTGTTCCTAAATTCATAGTGATTTTAACGCTGGAGAATATACTCACGGGCCTGTTTCTAAGGGATCACTCAGGAATGATAGGAGATGACAGACAGATGCGTCCTTTTCAGTGGGCAGTCTCTTTTCGCGCTTCCTCTTGATATAATAGTCGCGCATATACTTCCACTTGAACTTGCATTCTTTCTCTAAAAGAAGACGGAAATATTAACGGTCCGGCAAGTTTAATAAGTAAAACAAGACTACTGAAGAATGTACAGGGCGTCTTCAAGTCCGGAAATAGCACTGATTTCTCAAGGACGGTCCGGAAGTATTGAAAAAGTGTGGAAACTCCACAAGAATATCCGGAATTTTTGTCGCAATTTTGAGTGAGAAATCAAAATTTATCAAACGTCAAACGGATGTACTAAAAAAGTACTGAATTTTTCTGTTACGGAGGTACTGAAATTCTTGGGAATGTAGTGAAAACGTACTGTATAAGTACCAGGGCCGGATTAAGGGGGTGGCCACATGAGCCGCGGCCCATGGCGGCAAATCTATAGGGGCCGCAAATTTTGCAATTGTTTTAAATGTAGATAATAAAAAAATCGGGTTCAGAAAAAAAAATTACAAACGAGAAAAGGCGACAAAATCTCTAATTTTCTGAGAGTATAGTAATTTCTACTTTTGTCGTCTTTCAGTGATACAAGAGACAGCAATTTTAATTAGTCGAGTTAAGAGAGAAACCAAACACGCAATTTGGCCTGGAACGGCGCGACTTCCGTAAAGAGAAATGATGAGGACTTGAGATGAAAAGGAGAAGCCCTCGGCGCGGCGATCGGCATGTAACACATATTAGCGCCTACAAGACTGCACGAATACTTCACGCATTGCATTAAATACAGTGCGGTCATTGCGGACAGCGTGAAACGGATAGCGCCTACAAGAATGCATGAATACCTCACGCATTGCGGCAAACGCAGTGCAATCCGCGTGAGACGCATAACGCCTACAAGACTCCGTGAATACTTCACGCATTGCGTCAAACACAGTACGGTCTGCGAGGCGCGGCGGCGGAAGTTAAAATCATTAATCCACATTTATGTTTGTTCTTTCATAATTTTTTCGTTCATTTCTTATGAATGTAAGGCCTTGTCCTCACAGAGATAGGTTTACGAAACTTAACTTTCGCGCAAAGTTCCGTGAACTTTTACTAGTAGTGTTGACAGGGCTTTCCCAAAAAATGTGTTCAACACCAGTAAACACGTCTTACGCACCCCTCCCCTGCTGGCACGTTCATTTGATGGTTTTCATTGATATTTCAAAACGAATGAGAAGGGACGGCAAAATACAGGCGGCCTATGGGCGGCACGTAAGTAAACCCGGCCATGTCGGGACATCAACATTAAACTGTTGACTTACCTACATGGTCGATGTTTAACAACGTGTTGGCAGTTTCGTTTTGCATACAAGCCAAAGCAAGCCGTAGTTTGGGAAACTTGTTTGGCTCATGACGTTACCCGAAGCTCATCATCCACCATGTAGGTAGGTTAACAGCCGAATAAAGTGCGATGCCTGTTGCTCTCTTATGATTGTCTCTAAGGAAGTGTATCTCCGAAATGGGCCTGTTGCAAACTTTTGCTAGAGCAAAAATAAGAGTTGTTTCCTATAGATAATGCCTCAAAAATCACGATGAGCGCATCGGCAAAGTATGAAATGCACTCATAACTTCTCAATCTGCGTAAGAAATTTGCGTTTTTTTGAGCTTCCCGCTTCAAAAACGATACTACGGTACAGGTGAACATTTTGTTAAGCCGGGATTTCCTACAAATGCTTATCGGCGCGGTTCGGCAGCGCCCAGCGCCAATTGTCATAAGAGCCCGTGTTAAAAGTTACTTTCGTCAGGCGTCAACACCGCCTCCGAGGCGGTGTTGACGCCTGGCGAAAATAAGACGTTTACACGGGCTCTTATGACAATTGGCGTCGGGCGCTACCGACCCGCGCCAATAAGCATTTGTAGGAAATCCCGGCTTTAGAGGAGTCGCTCCATCGTCGGCAATATTCATCATGGCCGACGCTTGCGCAGTTCCGCGCGTAATTCGAGGAGAGTTCAAGGTCAATCAAGGCGGGTGAGGAAAATATGAACGTAAACACGCCGATTGTTATCTGGTCTAATCCTGTTCAGGTGTTATCTCGTCCCTTCACAGGTGTTTTGGCGGATTGTCGTCGGCCATGATGAGTATTGCCGACGATGGAACGACTCCTCTAACAAAATGTTCACCTGTGCCGTAGTATCGTTTTTGAAGCGGGAAGCTCAAAAAACCGCAAATTTCTTACGCAGATTGTGAAGTTATGAGTGCATTTCAGACTTTGCCGATGCGCTCATCGTGATTTTTGAGGCATTATCTGCAGGATACAACTCTTAGTTTTGCTCTAGCAAAAGTTTGCAACAGGCCCATTAAAAGCTTCCACCTGTCGCGAAGAGGCCAGTGGAGGATCTCTTGTCTCTGCAATGAACTCACCAGTTTTGTTGACAGCCTCGCTGATACTTTCCCAAATGGCCGCTTTCAAAGCTGTGTTCTTGTAGTCTGGGTGTTCCGGGGAATACAGCGCCGGGTTTGATCGAACGAGATTTATGAGCAGCTCCCCCTCGTCCCGAGTGAAGACTTCTCGCCACATTTCGTCGATTCAGTGAAACACAGGGAACACAAGCTCCAACTGGGGAGGAAAGCCGATGTCGACACTCGACATGCGCGGAAGGCGACTTCCAAGCCGGACTGCACGCGGCGGACTGGGACCGGAGCTGACGTCAGCGTCGGATTCCGCCGCCGATTGCGACTTCGGCCTCGGCCGATTCCGCCCGAGCCCCGGTGACATGACGCCACGGCCGCGCCGAGCCGGGCGTTCGCCAGCCGAGTTTCGGCGGCGTACTGTATGCAGCACTGCTCCGAGAGCGGTGTTGCGTCCTATTCTGCCGTGCTTAGGAAGAACGCCGTATAAACGTTAGAGTGTTGCCAAACTTCCCTCGATAAAACTATGTATTATTGACAACACCCATGCATATTTTCCCTTAAAATTTTCAGATATGTTAAATTCAATCGCATACAAAATTGTCTGAAAATTTTGGAAGGTAATATTCGCAATTTTCCCAGTAAATTCGGTTTTTATCGCACTGGAAAGAAAAACACATTGGATCTGGAGTCCAGGCTCTTGAAAACATTAACAAGAAAAAGTACTCTTGATTCAATCGGATTTTTGCTCGAATCAAAACGAAATCCGTTTAAATTGAGAGGCTTGGTTCTTGATTTAAGCTAGATTCTGATTGAATCAAGAGTACTTTTTCTTGTCGATGTTTTTATGAGTCTGGACTCTAGATCCAATGTGTGTTTTTTTTTTTTTTTTCCAGTGCGGAGGAAACCTGGCAACGTCTGAGGGTTCTTACGGCGTTCCTCCGTAGCACGGCAGTATTCGTACAGGGCGGTCCGCTGAGCTGGTCGACGCATACGCGCGCCGAAATTCGCCTACGAACGCCCAGCGGAATCGCGCCTTGAGCGGTTCGTCATTGCACAGTGAATCGAGGCAATTTGGGAGGTCGGCAAGAAATGTTTGACTATAACTGCAAATTTTGATGTTTATTTCGTCACATTTTAGTTGCAAGGGGTGCTATGAAAAGAAAAGTTCACGAGGAGGCCAATGGAACCACTTTCAGAACCTCAAAACGTTGTATAAACGGAGCTATATGCATAGGCGGTTCTAGACCTTCATGTTTGGGGGTGCCCAGAGGTGAAAAATGTCGGAGACCGGTCTAGAAGTGGAAGGTCGCTCAGGGGAGGCCTAAGTTTCGGCCCTCAAGTTTTGGCGCGTATACGTAGTATACCGCCTTTGCGATCGTTTCGACCCCCCCCTCGATACAATAACCGAGTCCCCTAGTTCCTTACCGAAAAGTGACTACCGCGAACTTCTGAGATTTTCCAAAGCGTGTAAAAAGTTTACTAATCCGTCAATAATAATGATTAAAATTTGTTTCTCATTCTGGGGCTCGCTAGTTTATGTGTAATGAATACCAAGAGTCTACGTTTCTTGGTTTTTTTTAAAAAAACCTTAGAATGGGGCGCGCTGATTTAAAATATGCATATATAAGCGGAAGCAAGCGAACTGATTCGAGGATGGCTGACCAGTTCGGCACTCCTTGAATGAGAATTTCACTCACTCCGTTTTGTTCACAACGTTGCTTTGACATATCTCCACAACACTGTTATCCTTTTCAAAAGTTGGTACTCCTTGCTCTGATAGCCGGGGCCACCAGGATAGTGGTAAGTGCAATCTGTGATGATCCTCGAGACTCATTAGACCATTTGCTAAACGTGGCTCATACAGGAGTCCACTAAGCCCTCTCGTCCCCACGCTCCTGATCACTGCGTCGGCGTCACGAAGAACAATGGGCCTTGGGTCCCAACGCGGCCGATACCCGTACCCCAATTACTCACGCTTCATTAACCATTTCACCGTCACGCTAGGATTCATCCAATTTTCAAAAAAAATTGTTTCGCATGTATTTAGCAATTTTTTCCTTACTCTCCGTTAAAACACAAATAAAAAGAGACCTCATTCATAAAAATCGGCCGAATAGAAGAGAAGTTACAGTAATCGAAATCCGAAGAAATCAACAAAACCTCGACTCCTCGATACGAAAAATAAAATGAAGGGGAAAAAAAGAAAGTATAAATTACAATTAAATATAATTGACCTCAAAATTTGACAAACAATTTATTTATATACCTAACGCTGAAAAAACTGGGAGAAATTACAAAAAATTCGCCTCTTGCAAGGGGCTTCTTTGTAAGCATTTTGACCTGAAGACAACGGTCGAATAACAGCAGTACTCCATACAATACACGGTGTGCCTGAACGAGTTAAACATTTTTTATACGTCCAAATCGAAAAATCTTTATATTTTTAACTACAATGTTTCTTGAATCGTTTAAGCCAAAAAAAAAAAAAAATTCCGTCGAGATTCTGGAACGCAAAGGCGCTTTAAAAGTATTCTGGGGCTATACTAGCTAAATCACCGGTAGTAAATTCGTTATATTATTAAAAAGAAATTGACTCCATAGTTTAATTCCTTAGTTTCTTGAATACGATTATTTTAAGCACTTAAACATTTATACCACCAATTTTAGCCATGGGGTGATTTCCTGAGAGCCGATAATATCACGAATTTCTCATAGAACCCCTCAACAGTGGCTTGCTTTTTTGGCAGCCGATTCGGCCATCGAACCGGAGTTTAAATGGAAGCTGATAATAACCCAAAGCTCTGAGAAAAATTTTGAGATGAGTATAAGAACGGTTTGTTGTAAGTAGCGAGGAGAGGCGGGCAAAGCGGCTAAAATCCTATCTAATTTTTACAGTTTTTCTGTTGAATTAATGTTGCCGCGGGCTTCTGACTGTCCACACATAGTTCTGTTCAGCATATCGATACATAAGTATTTACATTTTACATACGTAGAATCTAATTTTCACGTCGGGGAGTTGACATATTTTGATTTTTTCGATTTTATACGGAAAATTGATGGTTTTTCGGGATTGAAATTATTATTGTTTCATGAAAAATAAATGCACCCAAAATGACTATAGCATATTGATTCTTACACATTCGCACTCACAAAATTGGTTGGTAAATTCAACGAGTGGGTGCATCGACCTGGTATATCAAGTTTCTGCAATTTTTTACGGCAAATCAGTAGATTTTCGGGATGTAGATTGCTTACTTTCAATTCATGAATGAATAAAGCAACGACATGGTTGAACTTCTTTGCATGGAAAGACGTTTAAAATAACAAAATCAAGACGTATTTAATGCAATTGCATTTATATCGAGTCAATTTCTTTTCAATAATATAACGGGATTTTTACTACCGGTGATTTGGGTATTTTAGCCCCAAAATACCTTTAAATCGACTTTATCTTCTAGGAGTTCGACAGAATTTTTCCTTTCTTCGCTTAAATTATTCCGTAGCACTTTTCTTCAAGAATCTGATAAGATTTTGCTTGAGGCAGATCAAAAAACTTAAATTCGATCGAATAGCTTTCTACTTTCACAATACACGGTCTCGTCAAGGTGCGTCTTTGACCTCGCAGTGTTGGATCGTGAATTCTCTTTTTATGCTGTTTGCCTATTTTGAAATCTCTGTAAATGAAAACTAAAGGGGTTGATATGTGCGAGTTAATGACGCGCCTTATCAACACATTGTGTTGGAGTTCACTGCTTGTTATCCCTTTCCTACCATCCTTTCTCTTTTTCTCTCCTTTCTTTCTACTGAAATACCTATACATTCAACGTAGAAAATTTTTTAGCAAAACTTTCCATCAAAACTACAATCTTACCATAAAAAACAGTAGAATCTTTGTAAAACACGGCTATCAATATTAATTCTGTTTAAAACATTTTCAATTAATTGCTGGGATTTTTACTCAGTGTGAGCGAATGCAGAATCTTTAAAAGCAGTATAATTTGGTCCTTTTTATATTAAATTCTATACTGGTTAAAAAAGCAATTAATAGAGGTGAAGGAAGAAGAAGGCCCCTTTCACGGTTCCGGTAACTGCACTTAATTTTTGTGTGGGGGTGCCCGGCACCCACTGGCACCCCCGTAGAACCGCCTATGGCTATATGAGCGATAAATTCAAATTATGAGCATTTTTTTCATGGCGATGCGTGAGTCAGGCGGTCAACCGTCTTAAATTTTGAAAGTCTAAAGATAACATTTCGGGCAAATTCTGCCATTTTGGATTTTTGAATTTTAAAAATTCAAAAGAAGTTGAGATTCAAGTTCCTCATTAAAAAATACCCCCTGACACTATGACGGTAACAGTCAATTTTCATTCGTTAGTACCCCTTCAATTACATTTGATACGGTGCAATACTTTCGTGGTGGAACAGTTGCATTGGCGCCTACAAACCTAACAGGGATACTTCACGCATTGCGCAAAGCGTGAGGTATCCCTGTTAGGTTTACAGGCGCCAATGCAACTATTCCACCACGAAAGTATTGTACAGTATCTAATGTAATTGAAGGCGCAATAACGTATGAAAATTGACTGTTACCGTTCACCACTGTTTAAGAGTCCCGTTGATCCCACAGCATTAAGCGTTTAAAGCTCCAAATTCTGTCCGACCTCTCTTGTTGACTCGCGATCCACTGTGAGTCGTAGCGCTGACTTCGGCGCCGCGCATTGCATGGTAGGGTTGTTGCTTTGTCCCCTCAAAATCGATACATCGAAAATATCGACTTTGTCCAAAAAATCGATTAATCGCATAAAAATAAAGGAAACAATCGATTATGAAGGAAATCGCTCTAAGAAAGTCGACTGTCAGGAAAAGAATTGTTCCGTTCGGTTTTCTTCAATTCTCGCCTCACCAAGCGTTGAGTTTCATGTCCCTTGAATGGAAGCTATGTCGATGGCTTCTTTTAACTGCAAAGAATGATATAGGCTTACTGCTTCCTTAATTATTCAGGTGTAAAATTTTTATTCTTAGAAAACCGAAAATTCGAAAGAAATCGATTCGGCGGCAAAGTTGCGTGCAAAAAAATCGATTCAATTTAGTTGATGATTTTGTGCAAGAAACCAAAACTACTATTGCGCGTGCTGCAGAGGAGCGCGAGTCGGCTACTGACGTCGCGACGTTATGCGGAGCGAGTCAGTATGGGAAAAGTCGGGAAAGCTTGTGTCTATGTTAATATAAAACGCAGAGATTTCAGAAGTAATTCCATTGGTTTCGTCGTAGAATTCTCTCCGAGGAGCATCC